CGAGGGTTAATACATCTTCCGTTTCAAATTTAGACATCCCCACCTTTCCCTGACTTGACATCTATGAAAGTAACTCTATACTGATACTTATTATTAACACCCAACACCCGCCTACCCAACTTAAATAATTCGCCCTAGCTGTTACCATGGAAATTTTGATTTCAATTTTTAAAACACGTAAATTTCAGAAACACGTTATTCCAAAAAAATTCGCTTGAAGATGGAACAGAGCTTATTTTCACTCAATTTAATTTAAATAATTTAAATAATTATATTGAAGTTTTCGGCTCTTGTTTTGAAACATGGGACTTCTTATGTCGCGATTTGGAATCATATTTTTAAATAAATAATTATATTTATGCTCTACTTTTGTATCGAGCACTATTTTTTAAAAATAATAACTAAAATACTAAGGGACTTTGGATTATTTACCTAACCAGTTCCTTCCTATTTTCTATATATTTTCACACATATATATATATATTCAATAAGAACACCCTAAAACTGAGCTACAGCTGCTCTGATAATCTTGAACGCATAATAAAAAAAACACAATAATAAGATCTTGAACAAACCCCCATACCAAAACAGTATTAATAAAAACTCTACACTAAAATCAGATGATAATAGGAAAAAATTATGTAACTGTAGAAACCCAGAAGACTGCCCATTAGAAAATAAATGTTGTATTAACTCAGTGGTATACCAATGTACTATTTCATCCACAGAGAGCCCTAGCACTAATATGATATACATTGGGTCCACGAAGAATAAATTTAAAGATAGATGGAGGCAGCATAAATGCTCCTTTAATAATAATAAAACAAAAGAAATCAGACTTCACTATCAAAATATTTTTGGCACCTTGAAGGAAACAAATAAGACACCAAAAGTTAAATGGAAAATTATTGACAAGGCTAGAATATGTAAAGCTTGGGATGACCCATGCCCTTTGTGCCTCCATGAAAAATTGCACATTATTAAACTTCTAAATAATAATAATCTATTAAATAATAGACACGAGTTAACGGTTTTTTGTAGGCATCATCAGATTTTTGGTTTGAAATAAAAAAATTTATATAACTTGTTTAACAAATAGCCCAATCATCAGATTCATAGTAGAAATTATTAACTACAAACTTGCATACAACATAACACCCTTCATAATCCATAGCCCAAATTAGTAGTTTAAACACCTTACATAAAAGATAACCCTTTATGAAGTCGTCAAAAAAACAAACGTTACGAAAGTTTTTCTTTTATATGCACAATTCCTTTCATCAAAAATAAAATAAAATAAATAAATAAATCTCCATAGACAAGCCAACTTGACGAAAGCTTAATACATCTTCGTTTCATTTTTGACACCCTCACCTTCCCCCGACTTGACACCTTGAAAGTATCTCTATACCGCTACTTATCATTAACACCCTACACTCGCCTACCCATTTTAGACAATTCGACCTAGCTGTTACCATGGTGATTTTGATTTCAATTTTTAAAAACAAGTAAATTTCAGATATACGTTATTCCAACAAAAAATTTCGCTTGAAGATGGAACGGAGCACTTTTTAATTTCAACTCAATTTAATTTAAAGGATTATATTGAAGTTTTCAGCTCTTGTTTTGAAACATGAGACTTCTTATGTAGCGATTTGGAATCATATTTTTAAATAAATAATTATATATATATATATATATATATATATATATATATAAAGTTTTCGACAGTCTGTTTCATGCTATATGCAATCACGATTGCATAAGCATGAAACAGACTGTCGCCCTAAGTGTTGACTTATGTTCACTTTTATATTTACACACTATCTCTGATATTGAGCACTTTAGATAAATATAGCAATCACCTTTTACTATATTTCTTCATATATATATATATATATATATATATATATATATATATATATATATATATATTCATATGTTTCATTAAATAATATAGACAAGTGTTGTCCATTTATTTGATGTAAATTCTTTTAATAACCTCTATAACACTTGTCTATATTATTTAATGAAACATGTACGAATGAAAAAATTCTGCCTAAATACACACTATATATATATGTGTGTGTGTGTGTGTGTGTGTGTGTGTGTGTGTGTGTGTGTGTGTGTGTGTGTGTGTGTGTGTGTGTGTGTGTGTGTCTGTGTGTGTGTGTGTCTGTGTGTGTGTGTGTGTGTGTGTGTGTGTGTGTGTGTGTGTCTGTGTCTGTGTGTGTGTGTGTCTCTGTGTGTGTGTGTCTCTGTGTGTGTGTCTGTGTGTGTGTCTGTGTGTGTGTCTGTGTGTGTGTGTGTGTCTTGTCATCGTTTCTGTACCTGTTCGGTTGCATTTGCTTTTTTTTTTAAAGTATTTTGCAGCTTCAGTCAATGTATTGTTTTTTTACTTATATTTCTTCACCCATTTGAAACTTATTATCATTATATTTCCTTTGATTTCTGGTGTAAATTCATTACTTTCCGGATTCCAACTAGAGACCTAAGGGCAGAAATGTCACCATGACATTTTACATTGAGCATTCTTTGAGGAAAAAACAAAAACAAAGATCACACACATTTTACATAGATAAAGCTCTTCGTAAGGTGTGTGTTTTACTTGTGAGGATATTTTTTTGTATTTCTTTAAAGCTTGGGCTACCAGGAATCCCTTCAATAAGTCTATCGGAATCTTTTCCAATCAATCCGAGGGCTCCAACTACAAATGGAATTGTTGATATCCTCATGTGCCACATTTTTGAGATTTCGATTTCAAGGTCTTTATACTTTGAAAGATTTTGAAGATCTTCAAATATATATTAGTCTACCTAGAATGTCATGTCAATAAGAAGGCACGTTTTTTTTATGGCCTCTGGTGATTAGCTTTGATTGTTTTGCCTTTGTCATCATCATCATCATTCGATTTCTGCTATGGACACACTACCTACCAAGTCTGGAAAAGACCTAAGGCAGGTCGTGGTGTGTTGTTATTCATTTCATGTTAATTTTTTTTTTTTTTTTTTTTTTTTTATCTCCGATGAAGTTAATAGACAAAGTTCTCCTTAGTCTATAACAATTTTCTGTATGTCTATTTCCATTCTTTCATTTTGTTTTTGTTCCATTTTTATAATTCCAAACATGGTATTATTCTTGTTTTCAATTTCCACATTTTTCTATTTCAATTTCCAATGTATTTTGATAGTTTTTCAAATTCCTTAAATGTTACAATCCGCACAAGCCATATCAATGAGTATGGTTTTTTCTTTCTGGTTTTTGACAATGATGTCCGGCCTATTTGTTCAATTTTTTCTGTCTGTGTGGATGGTATAATCCCATAGAATGGTGTTCTTCTATTTCTGTAACCGGCGCTGGCCGATGTTCATACCAGTGTTTGCTTACAACAAAAGAAGACGATTTTTAATTCATTTTGCAAGTATAGAACATCCTGAGTTAGATGGTGTTTCTTGTATTTGTCACCTGCATTTGGATCCACTTTATGATTTTGGAAAATTCCTAGGGACTCTGGTCTTGCGCTTTGAAAACCTTCAGTTTCAAAATCCAGATTTATCTTGTCTTTATCAACATTGGGTTTATTTACGTTCTGGGTACCTGTCTTGCCAGCGTTGTTTCATCTGTTCAAAGGGCTTTATCCTTGGCTTTTTTTTATTTTTGCTGCAATAGTTGGTTCTTGGCTTCTGTTTTGATTTACTACAGAATTACTAAATGTAAATGTTGTTTTTGTATTGCCTTCTTTTATTATTGAATATTTTTCTTTCTGTTTTCATGTTGTTTCACTAATTTTATTCCAGTCATTTGTTGTTTTCCATTTAGTAAGCCAATAGTTGTTGTCTTTATTCAATTCTAGCTGAATAAGACCTCTTCCACCTTCTTTACCCATTTGAAACTTATTATCTTATATATTTCTTGTTTTAGAATTTTGTCTGATGTCATTTAATTCAAGATTTGAAACTTTTGGACCACTGGATTCCAAATTCTGTTCTGAGAATTCAATTCAGTTTTAATAAAATCTATAGTCTCTTTACCATTTTCTTATGGTGACATTTTTACATAGGTGAAATCTTTTATTGTTACATTCTAAACTAATAGGAAGTTTTGTTGTAGCGATCCTCGAAAAAAAAATTTATCAAATTGATTTCATTCCGATGTCTTCACTTTAGCATTTTACAGTTTGCAGATTCCAAGCATTCCTTACAATTTTAAGTCATCCATGTGATGTTTTCTTTTTGTTTTAACCGCATTCTGTCTTGTTAAGTTGGCTGGTTAATGCTATAAGTGGAAAATAATTTTTGTATTCCTCTTTGAAAGACTTATAGGTTCCATTTTATGATTGAGGTAAAGTGTAGTTTTCTACATACAGGAAATTGATGATAACGGGTGATACCTTGTACATACTTAATTTAAGTCCAGGAATGTGGTACACTATCGGAATGCTTTTTCAATCTATCAGGCAATACTAAGAAGGATCATCCTATTAATAAGTATTGGTCTTTACATCCAAGCCTCGTTTGCACCCTTTTGTTCAAAATGGAATTGTCTGAAAATATGTTAACCATGTAATTGGTCTATAGTTTTTCGGATATTTGTGTCACATTTTTGGGTAGATTTTTGGTCATTTCAGGGTTGGATCTTATTTCTTGACTTTGAAAGATTTTAATATAGAAGATTTTATCTATTCCTGGAAATATATTTAGTCTTCTTCTGTGATTCCCGCCCATGTCTGTTCTGGTTTAGAATGTCAATGTCAATAAACTGAAGGGGGACTGTCACTTCAATTCTTTGTTTTATTTTTATGGCCTTCTTTTAGTTTTGTTTGAAAAAGATCTTGTTCTGTCTATTGAAAAGTCTTTTCTTATTATTTATTCTTTGATTCATTTGTATTGTTTTTTTTATTTTTATTTTTGCTTTATAGTTGATATTGTATTTTCTTTGTTAAAACTGGGGAAAGTACTGATTTATTATTACAGTTGAAAAACTGGGAAAATAGTGATGAATTAAAAAATGAAGTGGACAGAATAAAACAAATGTTTAAAATGAAAAATAGAATCAAAAAAAATGTGAAAGTTAAAATGCAAAGGAGAAACAAAGAAATGAAGGGGGAAGATAAAAGGAGAAAAATATATAAACATATAATGAATAGAAGAGGAGAACGAAAAGAAAGAAAGAAAGAAAGAAAGAAAGAAAGAAAGAAAGAAAGAAAGAAAGAAAGAAAGAAAGAACGTCACGTGTAAAAGAAATGAAAGAAAAGAATGAATGTAGAATTCATCGCTGTGAAAAGTAAAGACATAAAACGTTCAAAATTTGGCGGGATTCCATATCGTGATGTGGAGGCTTTGTATCTTGTCATACATTTCACAAAATCTTTAAGTCCGTCAGCGATATTTCCGACTTAATGTAAAGCCTATTCACGAACAAACATCCGGATATCAGGAGACATGAAAAAAAAAGGATTGCTTACAAGAATATATGGAACAAAAAGATTTCACACACACACACACACACACACACACACACACATATATATATATATGTGTGTGTGTGTGTGTGTGTATATATATATATATATATATATATATATATATAAATATAAATATATTTGTGTGTGTGAAATTCTCTTTTTAGATAATAAACAGAAATTTAACATGCAAAAATTTCCGTTGTCTGAATCGATTGAGAAGCAACTAAATTAAAAACACCCCTTACCATTAATCAATAAGTGGGTAGGTGGCACAAGCAAAATTTATTTTAATACTTACTTTTAGGAAGCATTTCCGATTGTTTTTATTTAATCATCTACATTGATCAGGTTTCTACAAGAATATTTAATTTCTCATCCAATTACAAATTCCATCATTTTAACTGCAGCATGAAATTAAAGTCCGTTTCACAAATTATCCCATCAAATCAGAATCCCCTACACATTTATTTCCTGTTGCCATATCTAGGTGACAGTGTTGCACGGTTTTCGTAACGTACCTTGAAGGTTTTATGACTTGAAAATCTCTGCTTTTTATGCCACCTATTATATTATGTTATTGGACGTGGAGTAAGGAAATCTTCTAAACTGATATCCGGCAAAATGGAACGAAATATTAATACTTAAAGTAAGAAAGTTATAAAAGTAAGACCTTGGAAGCAAACATTTGCATATATTAAATGATTACAAAATTTGTAAGTAGTTGTAAGCTAATTGCTAGATCGCATTCAAAACACTGGAATCACAATCTATGTTAGCAAGATATAGACTGTCATTCATATTTAATTCTGTTACTTTTGACTTTAATCCTCAGACTTTTATTTCACAACTCTTAGTCAGTGGAATGGCGCAGAAATAAGGAATTAGGTTTCACTGAGCTTCGAATCAGCATTGCTTATCTTCAGAAAAGTTTATTGTTCCGAGATCTGTCTGATACCAAAATCATAGTAATTCAATTGTACTGTATACTTCGAAATTTTATTTGAAAGCCCTGAAATGATGTTAAACCCTAGTTAAATAAATGTGATATTCGAATTTTTTATCTAAAATATTATCACTTATGATTATCTTTAATCTCTATTTATTTCATTTTATTTATATTGCATATTATAGCAAATCGGTGGGAGATTTTTTTATTTTGATATAAATCACTAGAAATACTATAATTAAAGCGGTTACTCTCTAACTTATTTGGAACACTATCCATGATTTTCTTATTTATATTACGATGAATAACATAAGGAAGACAGAACTCTTTCACTCAAACTGCGAAATTAAAACATCAGAGATTATTATATTCAACCAAACAATTTATGAAATGGAAACCCTTTATCTCATAACTTTAATCGACAGTATTGATCCTGTCTTTTCATTATCAATCATAAGAAACGAATATTCGGGAATATAAAAAAAAAAAACAATATCATTCAGGTAAAAATATTGACTTTATCTGGTTATCATGTTTGCTTTTTTTATTATGTTTTTAGTTGTATTTATACAGTGTTATCTTTGTTAATTGTTATGCAAGGCTTGATAGACTTTGAGATAGAGCGCGTTTGGTTAATTCAGTGTTCAGCGGACATGCAACATTCGGTATCTACGCGTGAGCCAATGAACAAAGAAAGCGAAACTGTTGTTCTTGCCGGATGCCCTCAGAGGAAAGACCCACAAAGACATCTATCACGTATACAGACAACGTAGAGCATGATCCTATTCGTGAGAAGAAAAAAAGGTCAACTGGAGAGGGCAGAGAAAGGAAATGCAAGAATCCGTTTTCCAATAAACGGAAACGCATAACAAAATAAGACCAAAAATATCAACAAGCATTTGCTAAGGTATGTATTATTAATACGTAAATGTTCTGACACGTCCTCCTCTGTATAACTTAGCTAAATCTATAGAATGAAAATGCATAAATATATTTACAATCTGACCATATCACAGAGAATTCCATTCTCTATTCTATTCAAGCATATTATTCCACATTTTCTTAACGCATGCTTACAGTCTTATTTACTTTTTATTCTGTATTTCTGCACTCAAACTTCCATTCGAAAGTATACTCTTTGTGAGATCGAGTTAGAACTTTTCTAAAATCCGGAATCGCTTCCCAAAGATCTACAATATGAACGATTAAGCGTAAATTCTGTTCACTATGGTAAAAGATGCGGGTTTCAATTATTTACTGATAACTCCATACATCATGGTTATGTCCTATTTTGCATGGTTTATTTGTTTGATTTAGGAATTAAGTAAAGGGTAACGATGAAGTTTAGGCTTAAAGCTAGGATTGGGACCAAATTCTAATAAAAGTAAAGCAACTCATGAAAAGACGATAAGATCTGATCTTTTAATTTTTTTTATCGGTATGGCCCCAAACAAGGCAGTAAAACCACTGACACAACTGAAACATTAATAATGAGCGGGAAGAAGAAAGAGTAATCAAAAGGACAGTAGGTAGCGGTTGATACATTGTATTTAAATTTATGCAGGTTAAAGTTGGATGGAAAGCATGGAACCGAAATGAAATTCCACAAGCAGGAAAAAAAACTTTTAGCACAGAACTTACCGTTCCATCTCTCCAACTCAACTGTAAATCGCCAGTCTAGTACTCATTAATTTACAGTTGAGCTGGCTAGACATAACCGTAATTTCTATATAAACAATTTCTTTTATCTTTTAAATAAAATAAATTATTTCTTAATATTTTATTTCATCAAAAGACTGAGCCAATGTCGTAGTTCCAGCTTTTCCGAGTTGAAATATTGAAATGACTGGATATGGACTAGTTGATAAATTCTTTTTCTTGAAGAATGGTGAATCCAATACTTAGGAAGACATTACTTTGGCTTTGTAAATAAAAGAAAGCATCAATATTATACGAAATACAAAACATTATCAATTAATATTAAATTTTGTTTATTTCTATTTTCATTCTTTTTTTTATTGAGTTATGGTGATTTGAAGAAGCGTTTATCACGGAAAAGGGAAGCTAAGTCTAAGTTCAGTTCCAACTGCTGCCCTCGTGAAATGTTTCACTCTTCAGCTTTGCTCGGATTTAAATATCAGGTCAGACTGGACTTTCTAACGTCTCCTAGCAATCAGTATAGAGAGACAGGTCTAAATTTAAACAATCGTGGTGAATGTAATGGTAAAATACCCCAACGCCTTTTCCAAGGATAATCATCGCAATCTTTATATATATATATATATATATATATATATATATATATATATATATATATATATATATATGTGTGTGTGTGTGTGTGTGTGTGTGTGTGTGTGTGTGTGTGTGTGTGTGTGTGTGTGTGTAGGCGCGCGTGTGTGTGTGTGTGTATTAAAAATATTATTAATGATGAATTACTATTCCTTTCATCATGTTTGCTTTTCAAGCCATTTCTGGGATCGTCGCTCTACAATCGCCGAAAGACTTTATTTTTATTCCGTAGTAAACTGCAATAAAATAAAAATGAAATAAATAGTTACGAAAACTTCAAAATATAGAAGAAAGTAGTAACGTATGAAAGAAGAGAGAATCGTGTGGAATTGATTAATTCCAAGACTATTTATTACGTAAACTGCAACAGATTAAAAACAAAACATTGCAACTGAATATTTCGCGCTTGATTAAATAAAGACTTTGTTCGAACATTCTCTAGTATACTCATTGCAGCTGGAAATAATAGTAAAAGGAAAGTAAATTCAAACATGATATAGAAAAAAAGATAAACATTTTAATCGTAAATAATTGTTATTTGATCCAGCAGTTAAATAAAACAAGACACGTAAAAGATAATACTTCACTGTCAAAGGTTCGACTATGCCTTGCTTTTAGCTGCGTTTTTATCGTGGAGTCTATTCCCAGTAGACCGGAACGCATTTCGCCAAGCATGTATGGCTTCCGATTCTCAGGTTTCACTGTATGGACCGGTTTTGACCAGCACTGCGTAGATTCGGCAAACCACATTACGGACAGTGATCAAAATAAATATTAACTTATAAGTGGGTCATTGCTACAACCGGATAGAATTGTGCATAATTCTACAGACATATAACTATAATGTCAAATGGGAATTATATATAGAAAGGCTTTATATATATATAAAGATTTATGAAACAACTGATATTTTTATATATAGTGCTCAATATTAAAAATAATAAAATAATATTAAAACTAGAGCGTTAATTATATTATATGAAAAGATTACTTAACTTTTAGATATCAATTTTATCCCGATTTCGAAGTTTCTTGGTAAAATTTCTAACCTTCAGTCTAAAACCAGAAAAAGAAAACTGAAGACTGAAAATTTTACCAAGAAACTTCGAAGTCGAGATAAAATTGATATTAAAAAGTGTCTTCATATATATATATATATATATATATATATATATATATATATATATATATGGACTCTCCTGTCGCAGCTGAGTTTCTAGGTTTTTAATTCAGAGTAGTCGTTCTCTTAGACTTCTCCAAGCCTATAGAACCCAGTCTGTCTTACTCTTTACCCAGAGAGATGGAGAGGATTAATACCTTTCATTACCAAGTGAATATAATGGATTCGACTGGAAGTAGAACTCGATACCTCAATCCGAGCCGCTATCCACTACTGCATCATGCACACACACACACACACACACACACACATATATATATATATATATATATATATATATATATATATATATATATATATATATATATGGATGGATGTATGTATGGATGGATGTATGTATGTATGTATAAAGAGAGAAGAAGCCACAAACGTTTTTTTGGTCATAATATAGTTTTTTTATATTTACTTTATATTATATAATTTTGCTCTACTTGTTTCCGGTATAGTGACCTTGATCAGGTGAAGAATGGTTACTTCCACCTATCTTTGTTGGTACATGTACATCTCAAAAATGTTAACCTATTTAAATAATTGCATATTCCTTCTTTATCGTTTCTCCCTTTATCTTGGTTCTAACATCATTAGTTGATCCATTATTTGTCCATTAATTTTAGGTTTCGTATTTCAAAACAAAAAAACAACGCATCACACTTCTACGCGGATTCCATAAGCAGGAAGTTCGTATAAAAGAAAATCAAAATTAACAGATGGGCTATAATAAAATTAGTAGCTCCCCCCCTTTTACTGTTGAATTAGTTACACTTCTACTTTAAAAGTTTCTTTTCTTGCACTTCCCGCCTGTTGAATTCCCTTCCGTTTCCTTGCTTCACCGATAACTCAATTTGCATAAATTTAAATGCAATATCAATCGCCATCTCTTATCTTCTTGAACCCTGTTCAGTTTCTATCATTTCCTCGCCCCCCCCAACCAGTTTTGTTTCTTACCTTCACTCTCTGTAAATCCCTGCATATTAGTGGCATTTTCTATAGTATAAAACACACATATTGTATATAGTTATCAGTAACCTAGGCTCCCTGTTTAGTAATGAGATATTCCGTTATCATGATAAGATAGACCGCACGTTTAATGCATTGGTTTTATTTATTTTGTTTCGTGTTGGTTTATTTCAGCAAATTAACAAACAGCTCCGACGTTTTATACTGTTTCGTTTTTCTTAAATATAAAGACAGTTCAGAGATATATCCATAATTTGTTATACTTAATTATATAATTTGTTATACTTAATTATGTATTATTTAAATATTAAAGAATAAAGTCTTAGGTGAAAATAGAGGCAGAAAGATTCCAAATGAACCCACAGACATATTATACCATTGGTTTCGAATCGGATTCTGTCGAAAATCTCGCAGTTCTAAATAAACAATGAAATAATAAATTCTCTAAAATCGTTCTAAATTAAATCCATAAACAGAGAAATAGTCTCACAAAAATTTATATCAAATGTAATATTGATGGTGAGTTAGTCTCTCTCTAAATATCTCTTTAAATATTTCCTTGCTAATACAGTTTTCAAAATTGATCTTAGAATCGCCAGTAGCTGCCTTGTAGCTTTCTATGCAATTTTCGTTCAGGTTCTAAATTCGGCTTTCTTATTTCAGTTTTGGGAAAAAGTCAGAAACTGTGGCGAGTCAAATCCGGACTGCAAATAGACTGAAAGAATTGGATAATACAAAAAAAAATCTGCATGGGAAGAAGGGTCAGCCGGGATATTCAGAATCGTTTCTAGATTCTGGAACTTCTTGGAATTCCTCTCTGAAGTCCTGGATAGTCCCAATATGAAATATGGAACCACAGCAAGTTGGGGTTTTTTTTTTTTTGGGGGGGCTATATTTATGAGATTAAGTTATTGTCCTCGTCTTTATTTATATTCACGACGTCCACGTGCCAGGCCTTTTATGGATATCTCAGTTTAAGTTATCTCACTTTAGTAACTCAGCTATTCTGTGGCCAGGTATTGAATTCACAACACTTTGGGTCGAGTCACTGGATTATTTCAACCAACGCTCAAGAACATGGGTCGTTTTCATAAGATCCTTAATGAAGTTTGAAGTCTCGGTAATTAAATTTTATCTGGGCTTCACTGAATCATTCTGAAAGCCTTTTTAATCATTTGAATAGTTACCGTGAAAGAATGTATTAAGCAAATCTGTTGTATATTCGCTCACTATGGTCACAAAATACTCACTAAGTGGCCCCTAACTCCCGATTGCATAGCCACACGAGTTTCTTTACGCTTATGTAGAAAGTCTTCCTTGCATCTATACGGCGAAATGTTCAAAATGGTTGGATAATCGGTAGATAGAACTCGAATAATTCCACACAGGATTTCGAATCATTGTAGGTACCTTCAAAGATTCGGCCAAACAATGAGCA